TCAACCGGGTACCCGATCGGGTAACCCGGTAGGATTTCTAATACCCGGACCCGACCCGGTTTGGGAGCACCGGGTACCCGAACCCGGAAAAAACCCGGTTTCATAAAAAATTACCCGATCCGGTCGGGTAATACCCGACCGGGTCGGGTTATACCCGAATAACCCGACCCGAATGCCCACCCCTAGATGTATCCATTGAAATGGTAACTCCATTATCGATCAAATGTAGTAATGCTAACTCCAAGAGACATAAGTTATTTTCTCCTTTCCTTGATGATATTTGTAGAATGCTAAAATTAATAAATTGGGAAATTAAATTAGTCAATTAAAATAAATTGTACCTAATTTAATTTATGGTTTATTTTGCAAACACTAGATAAACATCAATTAATTATTAGTCAATAAAATTATTATTTTTCTTTTAAGTTATAAGAGATAAATATCAATTTAATAAAAGTCAATTAAATCGCTCCATGTCCAGGGGCGAGTCCACCCAAGGGCTAGGGTGGACTCAAGCCCCCCCACTTCCAAAATCCCCCCCCCCACCCCACACACACACACACACACATATATAAATATATATATATATATATATACCCTATTTATTTTTTAGCCTACCTAATTATATTATTTAAGTCCACTTATTTAAAGCTCCTCTTACCTGACTTGCCCTCATCTTCTTCTATTTCTCAACTTCGTTCTCGTGCCTTAAAAAAGAAAAAGATAATTTATTCTCTCGGCGGCGACAACTTTTCTCTCATCTATATTTTAGATTGAATATCAATATGAAGTCGATTGTGTAAATTTGATAATCGACTTGATATTCATATTTCTTAAATTTTCATGGTAATTTAGCTTTTGCGATTCGATTTTGTATTATCTTCTGAAAGTGGAGAAAAAAAATTTCATATCAAATTTTCATCTTAAATTTCTTTGATACCAAATTTTTTTTTGCCCGAACCTCCGATGTGTTTAAGCCCCCCTCACAAAAGATCCTGGCCTCGCCACTGGCCACGTCATCAAGAAGTCTTTATGTAGGACTCTTATTCAACCACTATAAATAGGGACACTCCCTGCACAATTCAAAAACACAACTCAAGATGGTGAAAAGCCTTAGGATAAATTCTCTCTACAATATTCAAGTCGTTCTTCATCAAATTCAAGGCGTTCTTCATTTAATCGAAGGTGTTCTTCACCAAATCAATTCGTGAAAGCGTTTAGTTCGATATTACGGTGCTAAACCCTCTAATTAACATTATTAACATCAAATCAAGATCGAATTGAAGGAAAATTGAAGGGCCAAATCCATCAAGAACTCCAAGATCTTCAAGTCAAAGTTCGTCAAAGTTGAGCGTTCGATCTGAGACTCAAGTCGCAAGACCCTCGGAAAAACGTTATTCAATTTCAAAATCAAATCCAGAGAAGATGAAATCAACGACCCTACTCCGAACTTTCAAAGTCAACTATATATTGTTCATGAGAGAATAATCAGATGATTAAATTAGAGTTTGTAACCCACAATATTTATTTTAATTCAATAAATTATCTTTGTGCAAGCATTTTTCTTGTTTGTTTAAATCGCAGATAAGAATTTGTTGCTACAAATTTTGGCACGCCCTTGGGACATCTCTACTTCTCATCTCTTCTTTCTGTCGAAGATTCTTGAAGTGTTGCAGTGACTGCTCCACGTTCGCAATGAAGACTGCTACATCGGATCATCAAGTGTGGCCGTAGTTACAAGGAGTATGGCTAAGAAGCTGCAAGCATCCTCCAATATCAGCTCGACGCCCCAAACTAATGAGAAATACTTACCACCTCTTATCAACACAAGTGCAGACGTGGATGGTTTGAAACGAGAGACTTCACAGCCCACGCCCCGTTCAACATCAAGTTACTCAGAGGTGGCATCCGTCATGACAACAAACGCCACAAGTATGGAAGA